AAAAACAAAAAGTATTACCCTGTCATCTGAACCACAATACAAGGTTTATAAATTTTTGCGTCGCATGCAGACAACTTTTTTTTCATACGGTTTAAAGGTGTCGCTTGGTCATTAATAAATATGGACATGCGTAAGTTTAAAATGCTAGGGGCTATTTTATAATATTTAATCAAGAATATTGGGAAAAAATTGTACAGAGCGAGTGCGAATGACGGGGTATTAATAAAATATAAAATGCGTTATTTTCTTCCAGGAATTAAATTCAATGCAAAGTTTACTGATTACATTTTATCGGAGAAGAATTTTTGATCAAACTCGTTTAATAATTTCAAAAAAAGTATTTTTTTACGGATAAAGGCTGCATAGATCATTGTTAGTAGAAAATGACTTGGGCTAGCTTCAGAAATTTATTTTTTTATTGTTATTATTTTTATAATTTGCCTTTTAAATTGAAAATTAATTGATACTCTTTATGTATCTAAGATGTTGAAAAATAGAAAACTAAAAGAAAGATTGAGGAGTTATTACTTTTGACGTTGTGTGTGAAATCATACGTTTGTCCACCAACTGACAAGTTCTTCGTTTCTAATTGCCATTCTTAACCATCCTATGTCATAAGATCTAAAGTCAGTAAAAAAATACTTTCAAAGAGGCAATCGATTACGTTTATTTATGTATTGGAAATAGTTTAGTTTAGTTGCTGCGTTGGAAGGCTACGAATTCGCGCTAAGTTGAAAAGAATTAAGTAAATATAATCAGATAAGTAAATAAATAGTAAAGATCAGTGAAATCCTGTAGGAATTAGCGTGGAGTTCGCCTCTCAGCTCGACATTACCACCGCATTCGAAGCGGGGCCGGTGGAACTGTGCTTTGTAAATTCTTGTTTTATCACGTGGCTGATTAGCGTTTCGTATATTGAACAGAATAGTAGTCATTGACTTTTATTTTAGTCTATTGTTGTGGTATTCAAATCTTGCGTTCTAAATAAAAAAAGATGATTCGATGTATTCTGAGATAATAACGACCTCCTTTTTTTATGCGAAAAGTTGTCAAGCAAGCAGACGGTTCACCTGATGTTAAGTGAATACCGCCGCCCATGGACATCTGCCACACCCGAGGGTTACAGATGCGTTGACAACCTTTTGAAAATTGGGCTCCGGCTACCTCACTCACCAGACGAAACGCGAAAGTGTTTGTCATACTTCCACTTTACGCTGGTCTTCTGTGAGGTCGTGGTACTTACCCGGACGGGCCTGCCCATTCGTGCAACAGCCGAGGCTGCTGCGTGGCCCTACCACTAATACCTGATAATGATTCCAAAAGTTTCTGGTAAGTGGAAAGCTAATTGTAAGATAGTAGCCAAATCTTGCGGAACTCTCAATTGTTGAAGATAGGAGGAGCTAAATGGCGCTGAACTTTCATCTCGTAATAGAGACTCTGAATGCCAAACTTAGTATCACAAGAAGTTGTGGCAAATGAAAAACGTTTTTTGAAGTTTATGCAATATTTTTCTTTTAAGGAAAGTAGGTAGGTACTCGTAGCGGACAACATGTATGTTATGTAATTTGTTCGTGATTACTCGTACAGCACACGACAGAATACTACTAGTTTTCGGCGTAGACAGAGCTTATAATACTATCACATTTATCATTATGTGTGTGTTGTCGCCACGATACCGTACCGAACGTAAGTCAATCCTTTCTATATATGACGACGTTAAATTTCTTATATTCATATAGTGTATTCTACAGTATGCCTCCATAATACAAATAAACAAACATTTCAAAATCAGTACATATAAATAAACAGTTACAGTCATTGAAATTGATCAGTTACATTAAAAACAATTATGTGTGTGTGTTGGGGTGGGGGGGGGGACAAATAACGTAGAGATACATTTAGAATAGATATTGATGATCAATAAGAAATAAAGATTAATTTATTATCATTATATCTCCATATTTTTTTTTTTCAAAACATAAATCCATAATAAGGAATATTTAAACGATTATTAAATGACTTTTTTAAAAATCCGCTCTGGTTTATTGGACTCTCTGATTATTCTCCTCCGCAGGGTCGGTGCCACCGGCCCTCGGCCTAGGCACTAGGCAGTGAGCCTTAATTAGCGCTATCTAATTATTTAAGTTGCTCACGACCGGCGCGGAGCCACTTTAACTATGCATTGATTTATAGCCCGCAATGCTACGGATGTCTTTTGACCCCAACTCGCTATATTTGGCAGTAACCGAGGCGCGGAAGGCGATTCGTATAAGTGACCAGAACTAATCCAATCGAACAGTTGGTATAAGATTATGGTTAAATTTTTTTATTTCGAAAATTCAAGCATTTCTTGAAATGTTTAAAAATGTTTAGTCGAAACTGTCGTAAAATTTTTCACTTATGCCAGGGTTCAACCTCGCCTTGCGGATTACGCGTCCAAACGCTCTAGCCATCAAGCTAAGCGCTCATCTCATCATCATCATCATTTCAGCATGTCTGTGCTCTGCTGAACATAGGTCTTCTATAGAATACGAATATACTGCCACGAAGCACGATCCTGAGCCACCCGAATCCATCGACTTTCCGCACGTTTGCACTGTAATACTAAATATTGTGGTGAGAAGTTATTATTCATAATTTTTTATTTTTGAAGTCACTAACGTTTGATTACTTACTTCCTTTGTAAAACTTTTTCACCTCACAGATTTTTTTACCATAAAGAAATTTGTTAAACCTTTTCGTTCGGCTGTATTAAGTAACATTATGTTGAACTAATAATTAAGTTAAAGCTGAAAGAGAGATAAGCAATTTAACAACATATATAACAATTTGTCGCCATTGCTTATTTAAATTTATTATTGTGAGTATTTCATTAGCTATAAATTAACTTTAAACATGTTATGATTTAATAAACGTATAAATATGTATAAATTTATAACATTCTGATCCAAGTTCGAATCCTAAATGATGAACAAAACCTAAATATAAATTATGCACTTGTGGAATACAATGGATTACGAGAAATTGAATCTTATTTGTATTGTCATACGGTATAAAACTCAATCCGATCCGAAAATCGTGTCGCTTTTTAAAAGTTTACAAATTAAGGACCACGAGGTACTTAAAAAATATTTAATTGCATACGTAGGATTAGACAGGACATGAGGAAGTAAAATAAACTCACTTAAAACTCACTTTCTTTTGCAAAAAAAGCCGGTAATGACCAGAGAACATATTATGATTAAGACTTATAATTTGGGGTAGCACAAGGCAGAAGCTTCTGGTGTTATACAAATGGGTAGGCTCGGCCGGAGAAGTAACACGGGCTAACAGAAAACCGGCGTGACTCAGATTTTGTAGATGTGTGGCATGAGTGGCGGGATTCACTTAGCATCTGGTGATCCACATGCTCGCTTGCCAACTTATCACATGTAAACACCTTGGTAAACGTTTGTAGCGTGTTTGTGCGGTAGGTTACAAGGTATGGTATAGATAGCTATACCAAAAATACGCGGGGAGAGGTCGCACCTATACTTTTCCAAACAGGCTAATCCTCGATCCAGCGCGGTCGCGATCAACTTTGAGATCTTTCAGGAAGGCAGCGAACAAACAAAATGGACGGGATCGGATCTAAGCACTCGATACTTATTTGCAATTAGTCCCACGACCAGCCGCTGAGAAAAGAGATCAATTTGAGATTGGTAAAAGATTTTTTTTTAAAAGTGAAGTTAGGTAAGCGTTACCGATGTAGCTCTGGGGATTAGTAAGCCGAAGTGGCAATGGGCCGGCCATGTAGCTCGAAGAATCGATAATCTATGGGGAAGAAAATTTCTCGACTGGCAGCATCGTATTGGTTATCGCAGTGTAGGACGACCCGCCACTGGATGGAGTCACAACTTGTTTAAATGTGCGAGAAGACGATGGATGCCGGTGGCTCAGGGTCGTGCTTCGTGGCAGTGTATGGTGGGGGCCTATGTAGACTACAACAGACTGCAATGATGATGATGCTGATGGACTGATTTAGTTCGTGATCAGCTAGAAGCGTCGGTTACCACTAATGTTCCGTCACTCACATAGCATTAGATACTGGTACCGTAATTAGTAGTAGATATTATAGAAAAGGCATAGAAAGAACGAACACGAAAATGACTTGAATTGAGTTATTGAGATATTTTTTAATTGATAAAAGTTATGAATCGGGAATCTTTCCGAGTATTTCGGGAATCTTTCCGAGTATTAAGTTTAATTTTTAAGCTCACTTTTAGTAATTTTAAGTTCACTTATCATACAGTGGATATAATCTATAAAAGGTACACAACTAGACGAACGCGGGCAGGCATAACTCTTATTTGGTTTCTCGAGCAGCGTTCCCCCGGCCAATTTTATTCGCGAATTTCGCCCGAACTGCGCGGGTCCAGTCTGCGGTGCGTTGCCTATAGCTAAAGTGGCTCGCTATCGACAGCGCGACAGGCGTGTGCTACCGGTCGCCGGTACTAAATAACAGTGTCACACTAGCCTTTGCCGACACCGCCTGGACGGTATCAAGCGAGATGGAAGTATTTATTTACAGTTTACCACTCGCAGATAATTATTTGAAAGTTTTATTGCGTACTATCTCATTATCTGTGTGTCACTTATAATAATATTTTTATTGTTGTGAAGCCATTGGACAGGTGTTGTTGTCCCATGAATTAACTGATGAATAAATACTGAACAATACAAATTTGCACAGGACTGATGTAAGGTAGAAATATTTACCTTTTTGCATTTAATTCTATTGAGATGAGAAATTCACAACGCGTTATGCGTTCATATCATATCAACAACACAATCACCTTTCGATGTTAACTCTAACTATAGTAAAGTTTATAACGTTACGATAATACCAATTGCTTATGGTTAAAGTTTAGGCAATATCTGATGTTATAAATTTAAAAAGAAAATCTGTAAACTGACTGTAAAGTATCTGTTTAACAATTTATTCACTCGGAAAGGCTTTAAGGCTCAGGTTTGTTTGTTAACGATATTACATTATCTTCGAGACGGTAAAAATCTGAGCGTTTTTTTATCGTGACTGGAGAGGCGGTCTGATTGCATAAAGCCGTCCCGCGCCTGCGCACCTTTTTGTTCAATCCCGCGCCGTATTTTGGCTGCGCGCGCGCCCATTTATCTCGGCTATCATCTGAGATACGGGGGCTATCCGCATCTTTATGCGCTTGTATCAGATAGCGGGAGATACTCGCCAAAGCTCGCTGATTACCCGATACGATTTGATAGGAGACGGTTCTCGATTCATATTCTATAATGATCTGCTTTTGGCCCGCTACCACGCCAAACGCGGCTGCTTCCAGACGATGTCGTTCGTTCATATTAATTTGTCGGCAACTACGGAGCGCTTGTATTGATATTTTTTCACGGCGATCAATACAAAGGGTGCCATTACGTTTACCACCTTCCGTTTCTATGTTTTCCAATGACCTCAAACTACAAAAAGTTTGAAATACATTCAAGTTTAATTATTTAATTATGTCTACATATATGTATATTGCAAATGAAACATTACAGTACGGTTCGCGTGCTTTTGTTAAGGTGGGGGAAATATATCCGCCCTCGTGGGGGAAACGTGTCAGACTTGTACTAAAACCCCATGTTCCATTGAGGGCGCATATCTTTAGGGCCATGGGCACGCCTTCGCACACTTCCACAAGCAGCGCTACTCAGAAGCTCTTCTTCAGGGAGCAACTTGCCTCACCAGGTAAGGCATGCGTGAACATTTAGCTCGTCTTCTTATACGGCCTCTTTCGGGATACGACCTCCCCGGAGTCCGCTGACGAGAGGACGCGGGAGTCAAGAGAGTCAGTGTTAATTAGCAGCAGCCCTCCCAACCTCCAGTGGCAGAGCTCTACTGTGATCTATGCTCTCTATGAGTACGCTCTCCTAAAAAAATATATGGTGTTATGTTAGTGTTTAGAATTGTAAAGTTTTTCATCAATGAATTATTTATTGTTTACAAGGTAAAAAAGGATCTTATTATTGTTCTATTTCAGTCATTTATGTTGTTTCTATATTGTCGCATTATTAATCTAGTTGGTTAAGTTGACAATTGCTAACTATAACAGTAAGTTGTATAAATATTTATTTTTTAAATAATTATTTTTAAATAATGATAAGTAATTTTTTTTTTTATGGAAAAATGGGGCGAACGAGCAGTGAACGAGCTGATCACCACCGTCCAAGAACACCGGAGGGCTTACGAATGCGTTGTTGGCCTTTAAAGAAAGAATATGCTCTCTTCTTGAAGGTTCCTAGGTCGTGACGGCTCGGAAAGAACGCCGGTGGCAGCTGGTTTCACAGAGTGGTTATGAGAGGCAGGAAATTCCTTGTAAATTAAGTCATAAAATGTTTTAGTTCAATTCTATGCAAAAACGCATAAAAAAAATACATAATACATATACTCTTATTAATATTTGAAATTACGGAGGGTTATTACACTACGTAAATAGTCAACAACTGAAATATACAAGGTCTAACTATTTTAAGTTATTAACAATATTAATTTCTCAAAATTTTACACTTTCTTTTCATAGCATTTTGTAACATGTGTGGTCTATAAAAGCGAACACGAACAATTTAAAGCGGACAGTTCAGCAAGTGAATGACTTTAAATACGCTTATCATGCCGATCTACAGTTTAATACCTTCTCAATCCCATCTCGGTTTGATTAAATCGGGCCTGGATTGACGGGGACAATCAAAGTACAATTAATTAGGCGTAACACACAATGAGCCCTACCTCTAGTGATGCGGCGACAAGATTGAAGCGACTTTGGGGATTAAATAGTGTGTATTTTAATATTGTTTATTGTGTGCGCATTTTTGGGTTAAATTATTGACGTACTTGGTCCATGTTATTCGATGAACTGGAAAAAATAGCATTGTTTAAAATAAAACAGCGTGTGTTATTGGAATAATATTTTTTGAGAAGGGGGCAAGCTGAGGCTGTTCCAATGTTAAGGTTTTAGGTAACAACCTAGGTTTGAATGCCCCCGCCCATAGACAATTACTACATGTGTGGGGTTGCAGATCCATTTAAAAAAGTAAAAATAGCCCCGGCACTTATGAGACGAAATATATAATAATGATAATAATTTTTTCCCTTTGTTTCATGTTAAAAGTCCGTAAACAGGCGTTGTAAAAGTACTTATCTACCTTAATAGTAATACACTATTGCTTTAATAAAATATAGTATGAAACAAAGTTTATATGTGTAGTACAAGAGCCTTGATAGCTCAGTGTCCGGGCGCTCGCCTTTAATTCAATATAGTCGAGCAACCCAAGTTCGATCCCCGGTGCCGGCACCAATGAAGTTTTTAACTTTAAGTGCTGACTTGTCACGTGCTCCGCGGTGAAGGAAAACATCGTGAGGAAACCTGCATAGTTTCAAAATAATAACAAAAAAAAATATATATTTCGAAGATATGTGAAGTCCGCCAATCCGCAGTGGGGCCGCGTGGTGGACTATGTCCTGATACCCTCTGTATAGAGGAGGCCTTTGCCCAGCAGCGGGACATGTTTAGGCTGTTATTTTACTTTTTTTTACATTGCACCCGTGGGAATTTACTTATGAATGAAGCACGATTTTATTGTATCGTCTAAAGAAAATGTGGTCGATGATTGATTTCAACTCGCTGCAAAATGATCTACCATCAGTTGTCGATTAAATATTCGATTTTATTTTAGTGTCGATAAGTTGCAGTGCAACCGTGAACTTTTAACCGTAACTTATTTCGCTGCACTTCACCACTTCCAAAAAAAACTTGTTGCGGGCATTAACTCGATTACTGCGATTGCGTGACTCTGACGAAAAGTGTCCCTCGGCACACTTGCAAATCACGGATTAAATTATCATTATTTCCCCATAAATTCGGCCGCGTCCATAATTCAAGATTGAATCAGTCACTATAAACTGGTCCTGTACAGTCGTCAGCCGATCGGCTATATATAACAGAGGGCCGGTGGCTTGTCGCGACAGCGCTTTGTGGGACGACACCCGCCGGCTTTAGACGTATGCTATGCCCATACGTATGTAGACACAGCCAATTATATGCTTGAACTGTATGTGTATGCTTTTTTCATAGATGCATGTGAGGATGCCCAATTTAAAATGTGCACGTATATTTTCTAGACATTCAATGTTCCTCAAGAAAATATTATGTAGTATGCAATTTGGATGGATTGTAATGACGATACTAATTTTATTGAGACGGTACAATTTTTAGTGAGACGGTACAAACTTTTATTGAAATAGATTCACATATCTATCTATCTCTTGATTTTAGGCGAATATTATTGTTAGTTGAAACTAATGTACGGATTTTATCGCGTTTTAATTTATGAAAAAAAATTACTATGGAATGGTGTGGGAACTTTGTTATCATTAGTAAAAGTTAACACCGATACAGAAACAAAACGTCGAAGGCAAATTTGAAAAAAAAAATGCGCGGACTAAACCCAATTTATTATACAAAAAGGATTTGATTTTTACAGCTTACATTGACTTAGGATATAAAGAGTTTTTAATAATATTTTAATACTGTTATACAGCAATAGCTAAATTCTTATTTTCTGCTGGACGAATAGTTGGCCTCGAGCAGAAATGTGTCATTTCTTCTTCTTAAGGTGCCTCACAAACGAGTAAAGTTTATGGTACCCTCGTATCATATCTTTGGAGCGGCGCTATCAGTTTGTAGTCTTCCTTCGTTTTAGTTTCGCAGAACAGCTTGCTACGCTAGCTATCCCGATCCATTCTCGGGTGCTACATAACCACGTCTTCTTTCTTCGGCCAACTTTTCTTTTGACAGCGATTTTGCCCATCACTATGAGTTCAAGATGTCTGATAGCTGATAACGAAGAATATGTTCAAAAGAGAAACTTTAGGCCGTGACATGAGAGAACGTTTTGGCCAAAATCGACGCAGAACTCAGGTCACCGTGTTGCTTCTGAATCTAACGGAAAGCATGCGCCTGTATGTTCACATCTGAAATGTAGCTTTTAGTTTTCTCTTCATTTTAGCTCATTATATTGTAGGCGACTGTAACATTTGTCTCTTCTTTGTCTTTGTTGTTGCGAGTTATCATGGGCTCAGTTGCTCTCTACATGATTTCGAACAAAATTATATTCATCATCATCATTTCAGCCTGTTTGAGTCCACTGCTGAACATAGGCCTACCCCATAGACTGCCACGTATTATGATCCTGAGCCACCTGTATCCATCGACTTCCCGCACATTTGCAAAGGTCGTCACTCTAGTGGGGGGTCGTCCGACACTGCGAAGGCCAGTACCAGGCTGCTACTCGAGTAACTTTCTTACCCAACGGTTATCGTTTCTACGAGCTATATCTCAGCTCGCTGAGCGACTTTGAGTTCCTCATACGGTAAGTGTCCACAGTGTAAGACCACATCTCAGTTCCGTAGGTTTGCTAGTGTCCACATTTCAGTTTTCTCGCGTCTCATAGCGCTTTATTTTTAACGATGTTGATTGTCCGTCAGATTACCTTATGTTGTCCTGATGATTTATAACTATATATAAGCACAAGAACACTAAAGATTTTTATATATAGTATACAATGATATAGATAATACAAAGATTCATAGTCTATATTTTCTCCAATGTTTTAATTACAGTTGCAATATCGCTTTCGTTACGAGATAAGTGTCATCGAGGTTAGTTCTTAAACAGTTCTCTTGTAGTCTTTTTTTTTAAATTACCGACGAATGGAATTTCATTGCGTATTTCGACACGTGCATACATTTTTCATCGATGATTCACAACTGATAGCGCTACCGACTGTACGTATACGATCGCACACGCATTTTAGTCTCGAGATGATTCACAAGGCGATAGTGCGTCCGCCGTTTGTAGCAACACGGCGTCTAGCCGCCGGAAGTAATTATGCAATAAATCGTTGGCGGGCAACGCAACCGATCTACGCTCATTTGCATACGTTTAATATATAGCATCTCTGCCGTTTGCGGCACGGCGTTGTGAGCTGTTTGCGCTGTGCACCGTATGGCGGTCTGTGCATTCGGCTACTGGGACGCAGTTCTCTTCTAATGTTTGATTTATCCACCGTTCATGAGGCTAGTTGTCCGCCCAATACTAGTTGGCGTTCCAATCGGTAGACAACACGCTGTAGACTGGCTTCTCTCGTGATTAAGGTCACCAAAAGTTTGTTTGTAAAAAAGTAAGTAAAAAATGTATCAACAGTTCAGTGCTGATTTTAGTGTTTGCTTTAGTAATTTCTGTTCGGTAACAGTTGTTTACGACGAGTGTTAGTAGTTTGTAGCAACGTTGAAGAATGTCCAGTT